TTGATTCCGAATTCAAACAAAGTATACTTATCTTTTCATCATATTCATAAAAACTTTCACTGCATTGAGTTGTTCTGTGCTTAAAATTTCGTTGGTCTTTCTAATGCTAGACTGACAAGGCATCAATGCTCGACGAGGCCATTGAATATCTGAAACAGCTTCAACTTCAAGTCCAGGTTCTTATTTCGTATCCTCTATAATCTTTAATTACCACATGCTTATGCAGTTTCATATTTTACGAGCTCCATTTAAATTCTGTTTATTTCAATGTTTCAACTTGCTAAGCTGTATGTTGACATGAAGTTCCTTAATAATGCTATCCAATACTAGATTCTGTGTATCATGTTTATATTTCGAAATTTGAATTCTTGACCATAGCTCGTAAAAAAATTCAAGGGTCACTCAACGGATTATTCAAAGTTTGATGCACTTCAAAATTAAGAACTGTATAAAATTGGGATGAGTAATATCTTGGCACCTGTACTATGTAAAATATGTGAATGGAACTCGTAGTGTACAAGCAAGAAACTCTTATGACATGTACACGAAGAATGATATTCGAGTGCAATTAAAGCTGACTTTGAAATGTGAACGGGAAATCGTAAACATCACCTTTTTGCAGATGTTGACAATGAGAAATGGACTAAGTTTACATCCAGGCTATTCGCTCGGATCATTGCAATCTATGTTAGTTCCTCCAGGCGGGCTGGAATTAGACGAGGTTAACGTGTTTAGAGATGCAAATAGAGACAGGGAGAATAACGTCTTTATGCAAAGTGCTATGGAGAATATCAATCTCGGTTCTTCGAACCGGCCTATGCTAGTACCATCCATGACAGCAAACAATACTAATTCAAGAATTCTACCTAGTGTAGTGCCATCTGTGCAAAACCATTATGGACTGCTTAATCATTTGGCCACCTCAAAGGTATTAACTGTTTCAAGATTCGGGCCGGGCTATTATTTATCATAATTATCTCTCTCTCTAGTTTACGGATACCGATTTACATGTCCAAATGCAGGATATTTGTCGGGATGGTCCGGTTTCGCAGCTGCAGTTAGATATGAGTTGCACTGGGAACAACTCATCTTCAGGCATTTCTTCCTAGTACAAAAAAGAGAAGAAAAAAATTAAATAAATTAAGGAGGTGGTGATTATTGAATTTGCAGGTGGATTATATGGACTATTTTCCTTGTAATAATTAAACTTTATTTTTTTTTTCAGTTTATACATGGGCTTTTTTTCGTTTAATGAAATTGTATTTGTAATTGTCAATACTAGATATGATGAGTGATGACCATGGTCATGACGTCACCATATAGAAAAAAATATGAAAAATACCAGATTTGACTAATTCAATTATTTTGTAGGCTAAATTAGGCCCACGTCAAATTACGAAAAAAATCTTCAAATTTAACATAATCTTCTAGATTTCGTGGAATATTCTCTATTCGTAAAAAAACTTCAAATTTAATATAATCTTCTAGATTTCGTGGAATATTCTCTATTCGTTTTGAGTAAAAATGCAGTTTATGTTGCACCACAATTTGATATTTACGAGCCAAGAGACATTTTTACAACCATTTTGTTTCAAAATGTAGAGCTTGAATGTGGTAAAACGAATACAAACTAAAGAATATTCCTCATAATCTAGAAAATTCCACTAAATTTAACACAACAAATGTGGACGTATAAGAAGATTAATAGTTGAGGAGGGTAATTGTAACTACTCAAACGTGAGGGGTGTTTTTGCACTTTGACCTTATTTCAGGGCCTGATGTAATTTAGCCTAGTTTCTATCCGAATATCACAAACCTTTTATTTGAGATCATTCTCTCCCAGATTAACAAATGCAGCCAAAAGAATTAACCTCGCAAATAAAATCCAGTTCATATCTAACCAAAACTAAAAATCCAAGAAAGATGGAACAAAAAACAAAATGGAGAGGGATCAATCACCAAATAATTAATCCATGTAAAATAAATCTTAGTACTCAATTATTACAGATTACTATTGCATAGAAAGAAAACATATCTTCTGTTTCATTTGTCCCAATATTAAATTACACTGCAAACCATGGTGGGCCCTGTCCCCATTTCTAGAAGTCCTATCATCTTGTACAGCTTGCCACCACACACCCCCCGCCCCCACCCCCACCACCCCTACGCCCACCCCTGCACTCAATCCCACTGTTGCCTGTGTTGAGTGTTTACTTCTGCTATACATATTTTATGTCTCTAACTTCACACACAGTCAAATGTGCAAAGCTTGAGTCTTTAGCAGGTCAACAATGTCTGACGGGACGACGGCGCCGGTGGCGTTACTGAACGACGAGCTGTCAAAACGGACCTCAATTTTCGGGATGCATTTATGGGTCGTTGTCGGAATCTGCGTCGGTGCGGCCATTGTCATCTTCCTCTTCCTCATCTCTCTCTGGTTCACCACCTCAAGAAGAAACAACAACAACAAGATATCAACCCACCACCACAACATCAATTCCACCATCCCAAATGTTTCCAGGGAAATCCAGGAAATACGGGTCGACCCGACCAAAACCCCTGACAACAACAAACCCAACCTGCTCCTCCCGCCGCCGCCGCACCGGACACACTCGAGCCCGGAATCCGACCGGAACGAGGACCAGCGAATCCACATTGAGATTGGGAAAGGGCAGCGGATAGCCTACCCAGAGAAGGCAGCAGCAGGCCCGGGTCGTCGGAGCGGCGAGACCCGACCCGAAGATGGGGTGGTGACGGGGCCCGAGGTTTCGCATTTGGGGTGGGGCCACTGGTACACGCTGAGGGAGCTTGAGGAGTGTACAAATGGGTTTGCTGAAGAGAAGGTGATTGGTGAAGGTGGCTATGGAATTGTTTACCATGGGGTGTTGCAGGATAATTCTAGCATTGCTGTCAAGAATCTGCTCAATAACAGGTATATATATTTTATTGCTACTTAGATCCTTATTACAATTTTCAATTTTGTAATTACTAATTTAGAAATATATATACTGTTTAATTTAGAAACCATTGCATCTGTATATAATGAGTTTTTTTTTTTTAATGTATATTGTTTCGAATTTTGGTATTAACTTGTTTACTGTATTCGATTGTTTGTTTAGGGGGCAAGCGGAGAGAGAATTCAAGGTCGAAGTTGAAGTTATTGGACGTGTTCGTCATAAGAATTTGGTGCGGTTGCTCGGTTATTGTGCCGAAGGAGCTCATAGGTACTCGTAGATTCGTCTTTTTTCTCTTCATGTTTTCATTGTAATATCACTTATGTTGGGATGTTTAATTATACGAATAATCGTATCTTATTTTCAGAATGCTCGTGTACGAATATGTCGATAACGGAAACTTAGAGCAATGGCTTCATGGAGATGTTGGACCAATTAGCCCTCTCACATGGGAAACTCGAATGAACATCATACTTGGAACCGCAAAGGGGTAGTTAATTAAATGCTACTTTCCGATTTGTACATCGAGATTTGTAGAATTAACTATGTTTATGTTGCTTAAACTCGTGCGATTTTCTCAGGTTGACCTATCTGCACGAGGGTCTCGAACCGAAAGTTGTTCATCGTGATATTAAATCGAGCAACATTTTATTAGACAAACAATGGCATGCTAAAGTTTCCGATTTTGGTCTCGCAAAGCTAATCGGCTCCGAAAAGAGTTACATCACAACACGAGTTATGGGAACATTCGGGTAAGTGAGTCGTCATCTATGCGTTTTCTTCTAAACCTAAACCAAATAAATAGAAATGACTCGGCTTTGTTATTTATATTTTCTAGATACGTCTCTCCCGAGTACGCAAGCACAGGTATGCTGAACGAGAGAAGCGACGTGTATAGTTTTGGCGTTCTTATTATGGAAATCATAACCGGAAGGAACCCTGTCGATTATAGCCGCTCCCCAGGAGAGGTAAGTATATATATAATTGATTTGATTGCTCTTCAATATATATACATATATACATATGTATGTATATATATGAGTCAACGTAATATATCAGGTGAACCTGGTTGAGTGGCTGAAAACGATGGTTTCGAATCGGAATGTTGAGGGAGTAGTGGATAGTAAGTTAAGCGAAAAGCCTTGCTCGAGAGCGTTGAAGCGTGCTCTATTAGTGGCTTTAAGGTGTGTGGACCCGAACGCTCAGAAAAGGCCGAAGATGGGGCATGTGGTTCATATGCTCGAGGCCGATGATTTTCCTTTCCGTGATGTAAGTTTTTTTGAGTAAATCTATGATTTTTTGTATGGCCTTTTCGATGTGCGTATAAATTTATTCGATTTTTACGTAATTTGACAGGAGCGTAGAGGTAGGCGCGTAAGTGAAGCGGGAGATAGTAGTGGATATGAAAGCAGTGTACAGACAGACAGGTTTTTGTCAAGAAAGAAAGAAACTACTGATTAAGAAAGAAAGAAAAAGAGTGGTAAAGGTTAGTTTTTCTTGTTGATGAGTTGATATAATGGGAGGCTCATTCTAATTGAATGGAAATGTAATGAAATTGTATTAATCCCTCTGTTTTTTTAATCTAAAAAAGTAATTATGAAATCCTGGAACAAAAAATAATATGGGATTTTTTTATTTTTTATTTTAATTTTATTCCTATTTAATCGTGGCCGACAATAATAGTACTTGATATTTAATTATTTAAATGATAGTTGACCAAGTCCAGCATAGAGAAGCCCACTTTTATAAATGATCGAGAATTTTGATAATATTCCTCCGTCCTTTTTATTTACCGTCAATTTTATGGGTGAAAAAACACGGGTGGGTCTTCTGTTGTCACGTGTTTTTTTTTTTTTTTTTTTTATATTTCTAAAACCCCTAAAGGTAAACCCTAACGGTGAATCTATTATAAAATACAAAAAAGAGACACGTGGCAGCAGAAGACCCACTCGGTGTTTTTTCACCGGGTGTAGGGTCAAACAAATCAATTTTATATTACCGGGACTAGCTGTTGAAACCGTCGGACGAATCGGATTGGAATAAGGTCTTTCGAAGAAAAAAATGATTTTTTTCGGAAGTGAAACTAGTTCCAGTTCCATTAGGAAAAAAATTAGCAATTGAAATTTCAGAAACTAAAATGTAAAAACTTGTTCCAAAAAAAAAAAAAAAAATCGGAGTGGAATCGACGGAAATTCAAGGACACAATATAATTAAGTTCTTACGTGTCCTTTTGGTAAGGACAGCTACTTTGACAGCTAAGAATGCGAAAGTAAAAGTTTGGAGTTTTGTGGGGGCATTGCAAGATTTTTTTTTGACTGAGGCGGTTTGAGTCGGGGCAAAACAATGAATTTAAAAAAATTATTTATTTTCGATTAATTATTGCCGCGCTGATTTATAGTGTGGTCGACTGGTCGGTCCCTAACCGCCTCGATCCTGATAAGCGCTTTTTAGAATGATTGGGCTCATTTTCTTTGATACAGGCATAAAAGATGGTTGAATAACATTCAGTCTTGGGCCCTAAACTTAATCAAAAGAAAAACCATTTAATATATTGAACTATTTCACAACATTCATCGGTCTTTGGGCCTAAATTGAATTGTTATCAGTCAGTATTTACAAATACTAATTCATTTCAAATCATGCTGAAATTGCAAATATACAGTTCAGAGGGTTCAATTAGGTTAAATCCAAGTTATGTGGAAAGTACAATGATTGCATATGCATTATGCAAGCTATGAACATATACAGATAGGACTGGGCATGGGTCGATTCTATCGATCAGCCGACCAACTTTTCTTGCCCGATGAACGATAATTAACCGGTCCACATAGTCGGTCGATTGTTTTCAATTTACTCAAAAGTATGTTGGTCGAATAACATCGGCCAACCAACTATAATAGTCGGGCCAATAATAATTTTCAATATTCAGCATAATCGGGTGATCAAGTCAAGTAGATAATTGGCAATAATTGCCCGACCCCACCGTACTGTAAATCTAAACATTACATGATCACTTATTAGCGGTTCTCTCTTCTCCACTTTTTATACCCAAACATGAAATAATTAATGTTCAATTATTAAAACTAATTATTGCTAAAAAGATAAATAGAAGGTTCCTCTTATAGTGAAATTCAATCCCATAATTGTTAATTAGCAGACGATCATGTTCTACCTTGTTCAATTCAATAATCAGTCCGTCCGGAAATCCATTTTCCAAAGAGACAAAAATCTGGGAATAAACCTGGTCCTAATAATTTAATATACAGATAGAGTAATGTGATTAACAAGATGCCAAACAATTAGAGACATTAATTAGCATAATTTATATCGTCACATTACTAATATAAATACCCTTTGAATTAAACATCTATTATCATATTGTAAGAGAAATTATGGAGTTGATAGCAATTAGACAAGTTTGTGTTGTGTTCCTATGTACAATGTTTCTCTCTCATGTGTTAGGAGAGAGGTCTAGTTATATTGTCCACATGGACAAATCTTTGATGCCTAAAGCATTTGCTAGCCACCACCATTGGTATTCTTTCACCATCAATTCCTTAAAGAAATCCTCCAAATCTCTTCACCGCCATCGAAAACCGCTCGAACTAGTTTATACTTACGACAATGCGTTTCACGGATTCAGTGCAGTGTTGTCGGAAGACGAACTCGAATCGCTTGGGAATTCCCCGGGGTTCGTCTCGGCTTATAGTGATAGAAATGTGACGCTCGACACTACTCATACGTTCGAGTTCCTGTCTCTGAATCCCGACGCGGGCCTTTGGCCCGCGTCGGATTATGGGAAAGACGTCATTGTCGGTGTTATCGACACTGGCGTCTGGCCCGAAAGTCTCAGCTTCAAAGACGATGGTATGACGGAGATTCCGACGAAATGGAAAGGAATATGCCAAGCGGGGCAAGATTTCAATTCCTCGTTGTGTAATAAGAAGCTCGTCGGAGTGCAGTACTTCAGCAAGGGTGTTGGAGCTTCGAATCCAAATATAACTCTGACCATGAATTCCGGGAGAGATACCGAGGGCCACGGGACCCACACGTCGTCTACTGCTGCCGGAAATTACGTGGAGGGAGCTTCGTTCTTTGGTTATGCTTCCGGCACTGCGAGAGGAATTGCGCCTCGTGCACGCGTGGCGATGTATAAGGTGATTTGGGACGAAGGGCGGTATGCTTCCGATGTTCTTGCCGGTATGGACAAGGCCGTCGCCGATGGCGTTGACGTAATTTCGATCTCGATGGGGTTCGATGGGGTTCCTCTGTATCAGGACCCGATCGCTATAGCTTCCTTCGGTGCCATGGAGAAGGGTGTGCTCGTTTCTTCCTCTGCAGGAAACGAGCACGCCATCGGGAGTTTGCATAACGGGATTCCGTGGGTGTTGACCGTTGCGGCGGGGTCCATCGATCGTTCCTTTGCCGGAGGGTTGACTTTAGGGAACGGGGCGACAATCACGGGGTGGACTATGTTCCCCGGGCCGGCTCTCGTAGCCGATTTGCCACTCGTATACAACAAAACGCTATCTTCTTGCAATTCGAGCGTGGCCTTATCGAGTGTTGCATACGGAACTGTAGTCATCTGCGAAAACGGCTTCATTTGGGATCAAATGAATCACGTCTCGATGTCGAAAGCCTCCGCGGCCATCTTCGTGTCCGACGATCCCGACATTTCAACTTTCAGCGACTTTACGTTTCCGGGGGTGGTGATCGGCACTATTGACGCTCCGACCGTGATAAATTACGCCACAAAAGGGTTTAAGCCATCAGCTAGTATCAGCTTTCAGAAGACGATAGTGGGGACAAAGGGGGCCCCCTACGTGGCTTCGTACACTTCACGTGGGCCCGCTCCGAGCTACCCGGGCATTCTGAAACCCGATATCATGGCACCGGGATCATTGGTCTTAGCTTCTTGGATACCAAATACACAAACGGCTTCTATCGGCACGAACATCGCCCTCACTAACGATTTCGTTGCAGTTTCCGGAACGTCTATGGCTTGCCCGCACGCTTCGGGCATTGTCGCGCTTCTTCGTGGGGCCCACCCGGAGTGGACCCCGGCAGCTATCCGCTCGGCCATGATGACGACAGCGAATCCGTTGGACAACACGAACAACTATATCAGGGATTCGTATTTCAACTACGAAACCGCGACCCCACTAGCGATGGGAGCGGGTCAAGTCGACCCGAACCGGGCGCTGGATCCGGGGCTAGTGTACGATGCTGCTCCGCAAGACTACGTGAATCTTCTCTGCTCGATGAATTTCACTTCGAATCAAATCGCCACGATCACGAGATCGAGCTACAAGTGTTCGAACCCTTCTTCGGATTTGAACTACCCTTCGTTTATTGCGTTGTACGCGACGAACCAAACGACGGGCGGTTTGGTTCGGAAGTTCGAGAGGACGGTGACGAATGTTGGTGGTGATAGTGGTTCGTACAAGGTTCAAGTGATTGCGCCGAGTGGATCAAAAGTGAGTGTTGATCCGAGTAATCTGGTGTTTGGTAAGAAGTACGAAAAACAGAGTTATTCCGTTACCGTTGAGTATAACGGTGACAAAAGTGGAGGGGTTACATTTGGTTCGATAACTTGGGTTGAAGATAACGGCAAACACACCGTGAGGAGTCCTATTGTGGTTTCCCCTATGATTCCTGTCTGGTGAATTGTTTGTTTAACTGCAGAATAACTGTAGCCGCCATTATTCTGACATGAAGAAAACGTGTTTTGACTTTTTTGAATGCAAGAGTTGTCATTTATAAATGACAATTATTAGTTATAATTTATAACACACCTACAAAAATTCAAAGCCCCCATCCACTCTTAGAATGAAATAAGTTCATAATATGAAATAAATGACTTTCAATAAATTATGTAAAGATCACCGTGAATTAAAATTCTGCCTACATTCAAAACTAGACACTTTATTTGAATATATAGGAAAGAGATTTTACTAAAGTTATTGCATATGGGCACTACATGTGAATTATCTAACAGTCTTTTTCTTGACAGTTTGGCTAACAAAAATTTCAACATAAGACTGTAATCAAATGTTCGAATTTGAAGAAAAAAAAAATCTCATCAGGACTCGGTACTGGGTTTTGTACGACCTTGTGAAATACATTGTGTGATTTTATACCATGGATTAATAAACAATAACGCACACACTAGTGTGTATGTGTGTCTAGTGGGTAGTTATATATGCAGATCTACGATTTATAATTACATAGTGTTTTTTATCAGATGTAGGATCTCGTAAGACGTCAGTACTGTGTGCCGTGGTCTTCAGACGCAGCAAAAAAAGGTTGAACAAGATTTGGTATTTCCCATGCGTGTGGGGAATTGCTATTGCATGCAGACAGCAGGAATATAATATATATGCCGACAATTGTGGCTTGAAAAGATGGCCTTCTAACGTTAATTAGTGATGAAATAAAGGGTAGGTAGTATTTAGCACAACAAATTTGTGGAAAAATGGGGCATGCTAATTTTAATTTGGTTGCTTCCCAAACCACAAACAAAAAAATGAATTATCTACCCACATGTGAATTCAAACCGTCTATCTTTTGAAAGTCGGTTAACCGAAATATACTAAAATTGCGCCACATGTAATAAGAAAACTAAAATTATATAGGTGCACTGCTAAACTTACGCTCTCGTATACAATAATCCTAATCTTGAATCTATAATGTGTGTGTGTGTTGGGGGGTGGTTAATTAAATATTGGACAGGTGAGGAGGAAAAATTGTTGAGTTGTTTGACTATATTGATGCCACCGGCTAAAATAGTTAAAATTCGACAGACAAATTCATCTTTTCCAGCTTCCTAGAAATACACTAGTATTAATTCAACATTCTTTTTCCTGTTTAATTTAATTACAAGTGGGAATATTGAGATAATGTGGTTATGTTACTTTATAAGAAGAAATATTAATCAATGTAGTAGTTGTTTCTTTTAATTATAAGTTATATGACCAGAATATATTGTTGTGTATTTGTTTGTAAGCATTCTTTCACTATCATCTTTCACTTGTCTCTTTCTCTCTGTAAAAATATTCAATAATAATTAAAAATAAAAAACAGAGAGAGAAAGTAAGAGAGAGAGAGAGAGAGAGAGAGAGAGTTTGCATGAACATATATATGACGAGATGTACGCGTTTATTGAAGAATGGATGGTGTGAAAGCGTTTCTGAAATTCGCAGGGAAAAGCGCACAAGCCAGGTGCGACTATGAGGTTGTAAAATTAGTGTGAAGGCCTTGCGGACAGTATTTATTTCTCTTATCATTTTTTAGTATCACCTTTTTCACCCAATGTTATTCCTACTTAACGCTCTAACTCAAAAGATTCTTTTTAATTAATTAATTAATTTATATATACAAGTTTGCCTCAATAAATATATTAGTTGATACGTGTCCGATTGCTCAAAGGCTCATACTAAATTAAAAGTCGCTGAAAGAGGAAGCAATATCGTCGTCAGTGGGTAAAATGAGCTCGCAGCAAGTAACGTCACTTTAAACGTACATCGTTGTTTGATAAGACAAGGGACCTACAAAACTCATCTCCACTACAAGTATAAATACAATTGTGTTCCTTACCTTCATCTATTACATTCAATACACCATTTTTTTACCTCATCCCACTTTAATCATATAGCAAAAGTCAGTCCAAATTTGAGAGTTCCCAACCTATAGATATTATAGCCTTGAACCCACAACTTAATTATATAGGCAAAAAATTGACTTTTTAAATGTAAAAGGTGAGATCATCAAATATGTGAATAATTCCTCAAAATTTATAAAAGTCAAAGTTCAAACCTCAAACCAAAACATTCCCAGCGTAAAAGCACACGTTCAACCCTACCCAAAAAACTCTACCTCCAAATAAAAAATTCCTTTCTAACAAAATCTCGCATTGAAAAAGAGTGGCACACATGAATATAATATTATAATATACAGCCAAGTCAAAAATTCCTCTGTGATAGCTAAGGGCCCACTCCAAAAGGGCTTCACCGGCTATATATACATTCATTCAAGCATCTCTTCACATTATATTTCATCAACAAATTTCTTCCTAGTGAGAGAAAAACAAAAATATTAATAAAATTTTCACATAGAATATATTCATCAAGTTGAATATCAGCAGAAATGGAAAGTAGTAGATGCAGCTCAACTAGAAGATGGAGAAGGACTTCTTCTAACCTCATGCTTGTGATCATAGTTTCATTGTTGGTTATATGCTCACAGTTTTGTCCTGCCGATTGTCGAGCCCTTCGTCCAGAACCGGAAGCCACTTCCACCACCACTGCCGCCAGAATGGACGGAGGCGGCTCCGACACGAGCATGACAACGGCGTTTTTAGTGTCTTCGAATAACTCCAGTATTAGCGGCAGTCGTCTTTCGGTAAGAGGGCTGGCTTTCATTCTGGCCTCTGGACCAAGCAAGAGAGGCCCTGGTCATTAGATATATATTAATCTATATTTTCAGATTTTTCATTTTTTCGATTTTGATTGTACGAGGTTCGGTGATCATTTGTTTACGCATAGAGTTTTTTTTCTCGTGTTTTTTTCCTTTTAGAGGACATCAAATATATACTCATATCATGTAAAGTCAAGTGTTATTACTATTAACAAAGAAGAAAGATATTCTTGGTTTCATTCATTTTCATGTTAATTGTTCGATTTTGTGGTGAATCTGGGATCAATTTTATAAGGAGCCATTTAAATTCATTTTTCTTGAAGAAAAATTCATACAAATGCAACTCAAGAACATGCTAAAGTTTTCGTAATTTTCATTTATTTATTATTTTTTTGGAAGGAGTCCTAGAATTTTAATTGGACAATTACCAAACACCTTGTATTCTCAAAGCAAATCTTGAAAAGGTAAACTTTAATAAAGAATTAAAAAGGCTATAGTTCTTGTTGTTATTTGACCTGAATGCTTCACGATACGACCGGGCTCTCATTGACTCGTTAGTTGTACATTACTCGTCACTTAGGTGGTTGAACAAATATTACGTAGTCGAACTTAAATCGAACTCGATTTTGTATCCTTCTAAATGGCTGATTTGAAACCAGACTACATTTTGGATTTTGTTCATACTTGACAAGGTTGAAATTAATAGTTCCCCCCATCCATCCTCTACTAGAGTGGTTGAGGTTTTCAAAACTGGATGGCTGCCTGCGACATATGAACAAAATGGTAGGAGAGTCGACAGTTTTTTTTTCTAATTAAAAACATTTTTTTTATGACAGTCAACATAGTATCTTCAAAGAAATAGAATAATGTAAAACTATAAAATCACAAGTCAACTTAATAAAATTCAAGAATGAAGTTGGTATAGTGCTTGACTTTTAAGAATTGTGGAAAAACACTGCTATCTTGTGACTTCCTGTTATGCCCGTCCGTAAGATTCCACACCATCGATCTATACATAATAACACACACATCCATGTGCATGTGTGCCTAGTCGGTAGATAGTTATTTGTATAGATCTATGGTGCAAAATTATGCGGTATTTTTCACCGGCCAATTTGAGCCAGCACTTTCGTGTCATCAACAACCAGTTCTCAACGTAGCGAGCAAGATTCTTCGGCAGATTTCACTTATATATCAACACAAGATTTCAATATCTATAGTTTCCTTTAAAGAATAGCTTTACCAAATACCGATTACTTCTACAGTCGACATAATGCAAAATTAGGTAATCCGATCATTCATCTCTCCCCCAACGAATAAGACAAACATGCTAAGCTGCAAAGCTTCTTCCCAAAATCGGCCAAGGCATATGACAAAATACATTTTCCTGCTTCTAAAGTTTCGCAGCTACAGTTATGGCTTCTAATAATCGATTCTGCCAAAAACTACTTGATATGAATCTCCACCGGTTAACGAGCACATAACATTGAAACTACAAGCAAGCCACTATATGTAACTGTCATATTCCAAGTTCATCCTACTCCTACATTTCACAACTAGGTCGAATTTTTGGACGAACACGGTTCAGAAAGAGCCAATTCATCGACCAATCGGTGAAGAAAGGCTGGGTACAATTCACCTCATTCAAAGCAGAATAATCCAGTAACTAGGGTTGTCTACTCATATCACAAAAGCATTTAGCTAAGGGAGAGAAAATTCAATGAGATGCAGCAAACGCAAATCCAAGAAATAATTACCAAATACCAAATAAGGAAATGTGATAAGATCTAATTAAACTAATATATTTAGCATCAAGATGTTCTGACATGATAATAATAGTAATACTCAGTAGATCCCAAACACGATTAAAAAACTTCCGAAAGAGATTCCACTAACAAAGATTACAAAAATTAAAAGAGGGGAAATTGGCAAATAGTATTTTAGGGTTACTCATTCCTCATCGGCAACGGACTCGGTTTTCTCGCTGTGCGGCGGTGCGGTGGACCCAGCATCCTCCTCCTCGGGCTTAATCGGCTCATCATTCACCGCCGGTGTCGCCGGAGCAGACACCGTCTCTCCAGATCTAGCCTTCACCGTATCCAGCATCCGCTTGCTGATCTCCTTGGAATAGACCTGCAGAATCTCGATCCCCTCTTCGTCGGTGGTCGCCGCCTTCCCGGCCTCTAGGAACGCCTCCTCCTCGATGACCTTGGCGGCATCGACGGCTTCGTCGCGGGAAACGGTGCCGTATCGCTTGGACAGAATGGAGGGGGACGATAGGGTTTCGACGAGGCGGTTCCTCACGGCGTCGCGCGTGCGCTCGGTCGGTGGCCAAATGCTGAAGGAGACGTTGGGGTATTTCTCAGCGGCGGCGGCGGCGGAGGCGGTGGTGGTGTTTGAGGTCTCGGATTGAGGGGCTGACTGCTCGATTTCGGCCATGGCGGTGGCTGAAGGGGGGAGATCTTGGGTTTGAGGAATTTGTTTTGCGGATTCAATGTTGTCTGACATTTTTAAGCGTTTTTCTTTTTACTTCCTTTTTTTTACTGTGGAGTAAAAAATGAAAAGTAATTAAATAAGAAAGAGTAATATTTAATGTGAAGTTAAAACACAAAAAGTGAAACGGGTCAATGGGTGTGGGTGGGGGACTAGAAAAAACGGTTGTGGGCTTGGCCCATATTTTAGGTGATTAAAACGACCCTCCACCTAAGAAAGATCGAGACCTGTGACGGTGGTATTTTATTATTAATTATTATTCATTTCTTACTCTTAATTTAATTTGTATCAATATTATTATTATTATTATTATTATTATTAGTTTTTAAATAATTCCAACATTTATGTACCAATAAATATTTTTTTATTATTCATATTATTATGAGTTATGTGTTTATATTATGGTATTAAATATTTTATGCAAATGATGAAAATCAAATAAATTTCGAAATTCCATCAATATTACAAACTTTGGCTGTAAATTTATGTATATTGGTAGCGAAGTTTCATGTATTGACTGAAATTATATTGATAGTGTAGTGAGCTTTTGTATATGGAGTCTTTAAAATAAATGGTCGTGTACTTCTTGTAGTCGATT